GATAATGTTAATATTAATAATAAGAGTGATGGTAATAATAATGAAATAAAATGATTATGATAATGATAATAATAATACTGATGATGATGATGATAACAATAATAATAATAATAATAATAATAATAATAATAATAATAATAATGATAATAATAAAAGTAATAATAATAATAGTAGTAGTAGTAGTAATAACAATAGTAATAGTAATAAAAGTAATTAATTTCCTCGCCATGAGGAAGGGTCCCCCCCTCTCTCTCTTTCTCTCTCGCTCTCTCTCTCTCTCTCTCCCACATGACTTCCTGTGTCCGGTCTCATGAGGGAGCGAGAGGAGATGGAGGGGAAAGAGGAAGAGAGGAAGAGATAGAGATAAAAGGTGAAGGGGGAGAAAACGAGGAAGGGGGGGGGGAGGAAAAGGAGGGGAGGAGAGAAGGGAAGAGATGTGGGGTTGGGGTGAGGGGGGGGGAGGGTGACTTTTATATACTCTCCGTCGATGCTAATGACCCCCTTCCCTCCCTCCTAACCCCACTCCCCCTCCCCCCACACCCCCCACCTCTTCTCACGTCGTCGCGTCTGGTCCGGGCGACGTGAGGCAGCGCGGGGAAGGCGAAGGGACAGAAATGAGGCGGCGCTGGCGTATTATAAAACTTGTATCTCTATCTCATGTCCATATACAGTCTATGTAAGTATGTAAGTATTTATGGGTGTATAAATGAATCGATGTAGGTATGTCCATATGCACACAAACACACACACTTACACACACACACACCTATTCATGTACCTAACTACCTATCTATCTCTATCTACCTCCTTATCTATCTATCTACCTCCCTCTCTACCTATCTAACCCCGCTCTCTATCCGCCTATCTATCCACCCGACTCGTCGTATCCGCGCGTCGGGGAGTCGGCGTCAGCGCCTGGGACCACAGTGCTTCGAGCGGCGTCCAAAACCCTCCATTACCGATTTTCTCCCGTCGCCAAGTATCTCTACGTCAGGTATCTGCGCCCCGACGTCTTATTTTGGCAAATCCTTCAATATCCTATAATCGATCCCGCGAGGAGAGAACGAGGGAGGGAGGGGAGGGAAGGAGAGGGTGGGAGGGGAGGGGGGGGGGAGGAGGAGAAAAAAAGTGTAAATGCTCGACAAATCTTCTGCTAATCCTCGTAGATCCGTAAATCCGACATTGATACTAACAGGAGTCAGTACCTCTGCTCCTCCTCCCCCCCCCACTCCCCCCCTCCACTCTCCTCTCCCTCCTCCCTCCCCCTCTCTAACTCTCCTCTCTCTCCTTGTGTCAACAACCTAACAACCCTCTTCCCCCCCCAACCTCAGCCCCACTAACCCTCCCCCCTACCCCTCAACCTCCCCCCCCTGTCGCCGTAACCCCAACCTTACTCCCATCCTTCCCCTCTCCCCCCTCCCCCTCCCCCCCCACCTATCCATTTGGGTTTCAGTGGCAGACGGATCACCAAGCAAATACGGCCGGACCCCGAGCACAGTGGCGCTAATCTTGCGTTTATGCTAATGACTGTAAACATTCTTTTGTCTTACGATCCGACGCGAAAATGTCCCTCTCTCTCTCTCTCTCATTTCCCAGGAGAAGGGGGGAGGGGAGGGGGAGGGGGGAGGGGGGGAGGGGGGGAGGGGGAGGTAGGTGTATGAAGAGGAGGGGGGAAGAATGAGAGGGGGGAGGAGGGGGAGGGGGAGGGGGAGGGGAGGTGGTGGAGGTGGTGAAGGGAGAATGGGAAGGAGGAAGAGGAGGAGAGGAAGAGGAGGGGAAGGGGGAGGGAGGGAAGGGGGGAGGGGGGGGAAGACGGTTGATTAGAGCGGTCGCTACAGGTAATTGAACTGGACACAGTCGCAAGCAGGTGGTACTGTCCGTGCCCTACCAGTTAGCATGTCCGCCCCGACCACCCTCACGCTCCCCCTCCCCCTCCCCCTCCTCCCCCCTCCCCTCCCTCTCATCCGGGTCCTGTTCGCACCTCTCCCTCTTTCCCCTCTCCGAGTCGGGGAACTACAACCCAAGGTATTTCATCCTACAACCTATAACTGACATTTTACAACCCACGAAAAAACCTGACTTTACAGAAAGCTTACGTCAAAGCTGCTTACAAATACACATACACACAATAGTCGTATTCATAACGGGAAATTGATACTTTTCTAAGCTAATACATCGGATGGACTCTGAGAAATGATGATAGTGATATTAGAGGTAGCAGTAATAGTAATAGTATTACTATAAAGATAATAATAATGGTACTCATGATAGCAATAATACCAATAATGGTAATAATAATGATTAAGAAAATAGTAATAATAATGATAATCAAAATAGTAACAATAGTGATAATAACATGAATGATAATCTTAGAGGAAAATAGTGATAATAACAGTATCAGTAACACGAAGAGCGCTAGGAAGACCCGTGGCGGCGGGCGGGCGGGCGGGCGCGAGTGCAGCTCCTCAGCAGCCCATTGCGACAGATGTGAAGCGACAGACAATTCCAGCTGACTATGGGCACGTGTTTCGGGGTAAGGGGGGGTAGGGGAGGCGGTAGGGGGTACGGTCGGGAGGGACAGGCGAGTTAGGGAGGAGGTCCAGGGAAGAGGGGGAGCAGGAGGAGGAGGAGGAGGGGGGGAGAGGGAAAAAGGCAGTTAACTGAGGGTAATTTCCAAGTCATCATACTTGAATACATTGAGGGAGGTGAAGCGGCCGCGTCGAAGTCGGCTGTTATTTTATTTAACACTGGCGACTGTTGTTTCCTTCCCCCGGACAGGAAGCGGCCCCAGGTGCCCGCTTTTCGAGGGGCAGGAGGGCAAAAGCGAAGGCCTGAGCTTCGGCAAAACGGCCCTCGAGAATTTCCTCACTAAGTCCAGTGTTCACCGGATTCATAAATCGAACTTAACTCGCCATGAAAGCTCGGTGCCTCGCTTGTGACCAACGGCCCGATTTAAGTGTCAATATCTATTATTATGATTCTAACCTCCGCTGCAACGGGTTTCTAATTAGACTTTCATTTTGCTGTTGGATTAGAAACCATTGTCTTATGCAAGGCAGACTTACGTGGTCGAATGATCTTCCATCACATTTTCTCATCTATAATGTCTCGTAGACCTTGCTAACATGAGGATACATTCTCGTGCAAAAATTTAGCATATGGATTATAAATCACCTCATGATTTGATGCACGGAAATTATGGTCCAGCAGATAAATAGATGATGATACGTAATAAAATATGCGAATAAATATATTTATAAACATAAAAAAGAGAGAAACGCACGTCTCCGTTGCCCCAAATCGAAATGATATCGCACCGAGAGAGTCTAATCGCGCGAAATTACAAAGCCCAAAGACCACGACCCTCGCCAGACCGCGCATTAGAGAAATGAACTTCGGGAGAGAAATTAGCTCCGGCGACGCGGAATCGGGCGCACAAAACCCGGAGACTTTCGACGCCTCGGAGTGCCTGCCTCCGGTCCCTTCCCCTCGTATCCGGGACTTCCCTTCGAACGCCGTTTAGGAGGATCCGGAGGCGTCCTGCTCTTCCGCCGGTGGAGAGCAGGCCTCGCCCTCCTCCAGATCCTTTAAGTATGAACGAACGTCTACTTAAGTCTATTACAATTCCTCCCCCATTAAATCTGGCCTGATTTAATTCCCTCTTTTGCAAACACCGTCCCACCTTCCCATGCAAATTGCGGCAAGGGAAGTGCCCATCCACGAAGCGAGCCGCACCTGAAGGGTTTCCAGCAGCGCAGTGAAGGGCTTTCGCTAACCACAGCTCCTTATCTGATAAGAAGCGATTTGCGGATCATCACGACGAGTAAAGATTTGACAGGACACCTCCCCTGGCCGAGCCCTTGTTTTTGCGAGGCGACTTTCGACTACTTTACATATATAGAATTTTATAGACTAAATACTAGATCGAGGCCATCTCATGCACCCTGGCGGCTATGGAAGGACCTACTCTCCGGTCTCGTATGCTCGTAGTGTGCTCGTTGGACGGCCGAGACCACTGCACTCTCAGGCAAGTGGTCTTTTGGTTGCTTGCGATAAGGCACACTATTGGAAGCACTTGCAACAGCCAATGGGACAGATTACCATGCTGATAAGACTGGCGGTAAAGACAGCAAAACCTGTCTAATATACTCTACTGATTACACGATTTTGTAGAAAGGCGTTAAATAAATAAATATATAAGACCAGCGAACATTTTACCCCTGTCACTGCCAATATCCATCGATAAAACGGACTAGTTCATAGGATCTAAAGTGTGAAGGAGACGGTTGCATGTTCTCCTGATATTAAGTCGATGACTTAACTTATTCCTGACTGCCACGGACCGAAAATGACTAAGATCACTTTTTATGCGGACGTTGAAATCACTTACGTCGTGATGTGTTATTTAGCCCCACGAAACTAAATAAACTTATAACTTAAGAAACACTCTTCACTTCATTGTAAATCTGCGACAATACTTTCAAATGCTGGAGAGAAAAAAAAAGAACAAAGTTGGCGAGTGATAATACAAGGTAGATAAGTTTGTACTTGCGTTTGGAGAGATCCTTCGTTGAGTGCAGATTGCTTGTCGATGAAGAAAAAAAATCACTGAGTCACTTGTTTCACTTATAAACCGTTTGCAATTTGGGGTCGTGCACTGTATTAACCAGATCACCCAGGTGAAAGAGAGAGAGGAAGAGGGAGGGAGAGAGTAGCCACTTGCTGTCAACTGTCAGCTTGACTTCTGCTCATCAACCGGAATGGCTCAGCTTTCGTTGGCTGCCCATCCATACATGGGACAAGTGCACACGACTGGGCTTCAGCAGCTGGGCCACTTCTCAAACAATCACCGAAATTTTGGTATCTTTCGTTTTTCCTTTCAGAATTTCACGAACTTGGCTGCTGTCTTAAGGGGGACTTGGCTCCACGCTCCTTCGAGGCGACGGTAGGGCTATGCTCGCGGGTTTGCGCTCTCCTTTCCAGAGGCGAGAGACTCTTACCAAGGAGTTATCCACTGAACACAGAAGCACTGGGACACTGCAGGTTCGGACGGAAGGTGGCTTCGAGAGGAACTGTAACGCGCGACTGGCCGAGCGAGCGGCTGCCACTCAACTGTGCGAAGAGAGCGGGGGTTCCGCGGCCGCCCTGGAGTACGCTGCTCGGCCCGCCCCCTCGCCTCTCGTGGGCGGGCCACGCCGCTCGCTCGCCCGCGGCCCGCCCCTCGCACGCCCTCGCCCTACCGGATCTTACAGTAGGCAACCGCAACTTCGCCAGGAGCTGCTTCTACCTCTCACTCGATAAATCTACCTCTCTTTCCTGGATCTAAGGAATCTTTCTTTTTTTCGTCTTTTCTTATTTTCCGATCTGATCGTAGGTTTTTGATAATTTATTCTAAGTGATCGCAATCTGGGCTTTCGTTGCGTAGAAGATATGAGATCTGGAAGCGATTCTTGGTGTGACACTTGTTGGAAAGAGGGAGGGGAGGGCGGGGAGGAGCGGGAGGGGGAAGAGCGGCGGCCAGGTCCCTCCCCCTCGCGAGAGGCCCCTCCCTCCTTCCGGGATTGGTGGCGTGACGTCAGCGCTGCCCCCGCCCCCCTCGCCGTGGAGAGCCCCCCGCCAGCACCACACAGTAGCACGCGACTCGGCTCCAGCACATGACGTGTCGCTCCCGCGTCGCTTCCTTCGCCGAGTCGTCCTCGCCAGTCTCCCTCGGGCCCCGAGCACCTCCGAGGCTGAGCTCCGGCCGGCCGCGGCTTCCCTCCCTTGAGAGAGAGCCTGCGATAAGATCTCCCGACGGAGCCGCTCTCGGGCCGACGACGTGTCGCGTTTAGATCCAACAAGATTACGCTTTCGCAAAGAGGGAGAGCGAGGAAAAAAGGCGAAGTTGAGAAGACGGTTTAGATGCAAGGAAGTCAGGATCTCGACGTGTGGTCTCGTCTCGCCTCATGTAGGGAGACGCGCAAGAAATCTCCGTTTCCAGTGCGCTGTCTGACGGCGAGCGAGATCGCAGTTCTGATTACAGTCTGCAGCCGTCACCTGGCGCGGCCTCGTGCAGGCGTCAGGTTCCGTGTGCCCGCCACGCGCCCCGCGCGCCGCGGCTTAACCTTTTGCCACAAGGGTCCCTTGAGGTTCGGTACGCGTCTTCAGGTGAACTTTGAGCCCGGAAACAATTTTTCAATCAGAGCCCGTGAATTAGGCGGTCTTTCGGTTCCTTGGAGGTATTCTTCCCAAGTCGGTTGCGTTAGATTAGACGGTTTCGCTTCCAAGATGTTTAAGTATCGGCGGAGGAAGAGAACGAAAGCACGAAGTACAAATTGGTTTCTGTTGTGGGATTTCTCGGATGACGAATAGTTCTCCGGACGCTGTTCATCAGCCCATTTCGTGGGGCGTCCGAGAGCCGAGGCTGAGCTCCCTCGCGCTCTCTCAGGGGGCCAAAACGCGGCGCTGGCGGCTCTCAAGTGATAGTCTCCGTAAGAGCAAGGAAAAAAGAAAAAAAGAAAAAGAAAGAAAAAGAATCAAGATGTGAGGCACAGGTTCTTCTTTTTCGTTTATTCATCATTTAGTAAATAACATGACTCTCGGTGGCCATTTCCAAACGTGTTTTAGGCGAAGAGAAATGTGCAGTTGATCACCGTGGCAGTAATCGCCTCGCAGAGAAATTGCCTCCGACTCGCACAGTTTCTTAGCCGAGCGGAGGCAGAGGCGGAGGCAGAAGCAGAGACAGAGGCAGGGGCAGGGGCAGAGGCAGAGGCAGAGGCAGGGGCAGGGGCAGGGGCAGGGGCAGGGGCAGAGGCAGGGGCAGGGGCAGGGGCAGAGACAGGGGCAGGGGCAGAAGCAGAGGGGCGTCGCAGTCACTCTGCCTCCGACGTCGACCCCGAGAGAGATTTCAACGCCCACTCAAATAGTTATCTTGATGTCATTTCCTCCGATGCCACTTATATCATTATCAATGTCGTGCGCGCCGCCACTTAATGAACTATATCATTACACTTGATCAAAACAAGTGCAATGAAACTCCTGGTGGTCACTGCAATGTTGATTTGGCAGACACGATTTTTTAGAATTGAAAAGAAAGGAATGAAAATACTGAAGCTATTTAGCCTCGAGGATGAAACAAATCTGTTTGTATTCTGCGCGTAATTAAATTTGCAGTCATAAACAACTAGATGATTCCTGTCATGAGCTGCGTCATAAAACTCTCTTAGAGGATGTTATAGAATGAAAAGTATGGTCATTATACGAAAATAGTAACAAAATCGTTTATCAGTCAGCTATAGCGAAGGTTTCTCGAAGGTTGAGTACGCAGAAGACAAGACATTCATAAAAAAAAAAGTTATGAGAACAAATGATTGTTTTTCTCTCCCACTTTCTTTAAGACAGACAATAAAAATAGAAGGCAATAATATAGCTAAATAAATTATATACATAAACTATAACCACAATAATAACAATTAAAAACAACATAAAACAAAAAAACACAATTCAGAATTCCCAAAACTGATCTTAAATTTGATTTTATTTTTTTTATCAAAATATCTATTGATCTAAAATTTAGACTTCCACGTAACCAACTCTCAAAGCCGAAATCCTATAAGACAGACTGTGG